GCTGAAGAATTCTGGGAGTTGAAGTCCACACATCTTCAAGTTGCCAAGGTTGAGAAACACTGGCCTACACCTTCCCTTCTCTTTCCATGATTCTAAAATTCTGTGCAGCCCCAAATAAATTTGTTGAAACAATATATGTTTTTACAATGGGCATGGAGATAAGCAATTCACTTCCATCATAGCCGGCACGGATTTGTCCTATCAATGCCAACCTGTTTATTATATCTGTATAGCATTGCACATAATGCCTGTTTGCCTATAGTGAATAAGTATCTGAATACAAGGGTGGTTTATTTATGAAGCACATGTAGTGCATTGAATGCGAACTCCAAAAGGGGTTTCAGAGCATGTAGGAGCACGAAGATGTGGCAGATAAGTGCTATACCCCTGTTCCCACATGCTCCAAAGCACTTTTTGGACAGCGAAGCTGAAGCACTGCACGGCTCTATTTATTTTACTTTATTTTTAAAGAGAAAAGATTTAATTTCTTTGCTTTAAAAGCACCCAAAGTAGCTACCAAGAAAAATGCAACAGAAAACCAATTAGTCTGATAAGGCAAATAAAAATCACAGCCGAAACCCAGTAAAAGGAAACACATATTGAAATAAAACGAATCCTGTTCTCTAAATGTCTTCAGAAACAGAAAACATTGTTAGATTTCAATAACCAACCAGGAGGGAGGAAGCCATACGCGAAGAAGGGAGCTCTAAAGAGGCTTAGATGATGAACTTCTTTATTATGTCCTATAAAAAGGGGTAGAGTTATTAAAAGCAAAACCAAATTAAACAGGGTGTAGCAGGAGAAAAAGTAAAACAGACCTCTCTCCGCTTCATTTTCCCCTCTAGCTCTGTTGAATTTTGCTGTCATGCTATTCCAAAGCCAAGCCCTTGTTTGAAAAAGACGGTGCAGCTATATATTTGCACAACTGGATAAATAAATCAGAAAGGGTTTTTTCCCCTATTAATTAAACCTTTTTTTTTTTTGAGCAAGCCAGTATTTGTAAATGAAGAACAAAACTTGGTATATAATGCCATGAGGGCAATAATCATGGTCCACAGTTTCACAGGAGCTGCAAAACAAATGAGCCCTGGTTTCTTTAGGCAGATACATACACAGACATACAGCGTGATGTCATACACATGGGTTCACTTTTGCCTCCTTGACCCCACTCCCCCTTCAAGGACATCTATGGATGGGCCAAGTCAAATGCAAGCAAATCTGTTTCTGCCCCAAAATATAGTTTGTTCTCAGAAGCCAAGATGTGTGTGTGAGGGCATGTGTTAAAGAGTTATCAAGGGTATGTTCCCCTGAGACATATGCATGCTTTATTTTAAAGGTTTGGGTTTCAACTACAGTGGATCCTCTTAGATTTATGTATGTCTGGAGTAATTTCCTTAAAAGAGTTAGTTCTGACTATTTTTGGTGTACATGTTCTTTTTCATCACAAAGGACAGGAGCTTTTCTTGCTCTGAACCTATTCAGCTTTAGAATGCATTCTATACATACAGTATTAGGAGTGCATCCATACTTTTCTC